TTGCTGTGGCAGTATCTCCAACGCACAGTCCCTTCCGATGTGGATGAGGGCCCTTTCGTTGGAATTTAAGGCCCACCAAAAGGGGCCTCCTGGGCGCGCAGCTGGTCTGCCCATTGAAGTGCTGGTTTTTATTGAGACGGAGAAAATGTGTTACCGATCTTCAGGTCAACGTGCCCCCGGCAGCCACCGTAGCATTGTTGGCGAGATGTGAATGTCGAAGACCCACCTACCCGGTTGCCCGTAACACAAGGATAAGTGGATGAGGTAACACTTGTGAGTGGGTGGCCTCGAAGCTCTCGAAAGAGCAAACGCCCGCCATCAATGCTTTCGTGGAGGGATCGCATGCGCTGGAGCAGTGCCAAAACTTCATCTCCAAATAGAAGTGAAAAAATGTATGAACCAAATCAAAAACTCACAATAAACACACACATGTATGCGTACATGAACATATATACAAAACACACATATCAACGCAAAGCCTTAAATTTTACAACAGAGGAGACTGTGGGAGCCTGTTTGTTAGAATGAGTTTGTTGCGCTGTTTGCTTTCTCGTTTTTTGTTGACGGCCGATGTTAACAACATCGAAACAGACAAGACCGCTTTCCAAAAGCATGTGGACTCTTGGTTCCTGGTTGTTGCCGCTCCGCTTCCCCCAATATTGAAGTATTGAAGCCCTTTCAATATTGGGCTGGATCCAAGGTGCGGAGATGAGAACTGAAATACAATGTGCTAGCAAGATACAGTGTTTAGTTTAGAATTCAAGTTAAGCTGCCTGCTTATCAGCTCATCAGGGGGAGGCGCGGGGGCTGATTATAGCTATTCAATATGTGTTAGTTTACAAGAGCTTAGGTTTTGCTCATTGGAGATGATTGTTTGAGTAAAGTTTTAAGTACAAAGCTGAGGTTTTGCTAATTGGAGGATGTTTACTGAATGTGAAAAAGCGACCTCCGCTGGAATGAAACCTCAAGTCTCTTCTTCAGCTGTGAGCTGGAGGGTAGTGCATGGACGCGCTGCTCGGAGCATTACGGCTGGCACAAGAAGGCGCCCGCAGCAACCTCTAGGGATTGGGCTGCCCCTTCTACCAGAGCAGTAGTGCCCCCGAGCCGCTCCGTTTGCATCGCCGCGCTAGGTTGGTTTGGTATTTGGATGGTTGAGCAGGAGGGTTGGGACTTGACCTTGCAGATTAAAGGTTTGCAAATAAGGCCTAGGAGGGGCAGTGCTGCATCCGAACCACTCGCTGGACTTGGAGCTCGCTCTTGTGTGAGCTCGCCCGCCGCGTCCTTTCGGCCGCACACTTCTCCTTCTAGGGGCCCCAGGAGGACCTCGAGCAGGGCCAGCAGGCGACAGAGCACGAAGGCATTGGGCCATCACTGTTAGTGAGTGCGCCTCCCATTTGTCTCTCCGAAACAGGCGATTGGGTGTCTCCAACAAACAGCGAGACCGTTCTGGCTGTCGTGCTGGATCTCTCGGCAAGTATGGCCGAGCAGCTTGGCAGGCCCGATATCCAAACGGAGCATATGTTTCCTTTCAGAGACGGGGAGCCGAATGTCTTCCCACTCGCATCCGAGGTTCTGAGGCTGTCGAAGGAATGGCTGGCCGAAGAGGGCGCCCTGCCCGCAGAGCTACACCACTGCGATCTCAGGTGGAGAGCCCCCGGTCGTGACACAGAGGTCAAAGGCTCCCAAACCAAAGCGCCCGACAGTGCAACAGCTGGCAAGCCAGCAAGAAGCCATCCTAAGGTAGATGACCACTCTGGCCGACCGCATGGACACCATGGAGGCAGGCCACCAACGGCCCCCCGTGCAGCGCATGCCAGCCCAGGTACAACCAGGTGCCCCGTTGCTTGCAGCCCTTCGCCAGCCTTTGTCGTCCCGGTTGCCTTGCACACAGCAGCCCGGCTTGAAGAGGCCGTCGCCTATCTTTGAAGTGCAGGCTTCGGTCCCGGCTCTTACGCCACGGATGCCGCCCAGGCCGCGGTGGGTGCGCGCATTCATCACCAGACTGTGGCAGAGAGGAGCTTCAACCCTACAGACCTATAGTTGCATCTGAACTCGCGTTGCATGGTTCTGGCTCGTGGCCGTTGGACAAGCATCTTGGCCCCGAACTCCTCATGCCTTATCTTGAGCCTGAGGTCCTGCAGTCTTTCCCTGGAACCGATGCCCCAACTCCCACCTTCGACCAGGAGGACAAGGGTGAGTTGGTAAAGGTTTTTAGGCTTTGGGATAGCTTCGGTTTGCTCGGAGTCACCAGAGGGCCGCTGCCTGAAAAGAATCTCACCAGGCTTGCCTTCAAAGCGCCCGGCCGGCTCCGACAGATAGGGGATAGAAGGGGCATGAATTCCCAGGAGGCTTTCCTTTCCTGCGAGGTCCCTCGAGGTTCTTGCCGACGGGGCCCCAGTTGTGCATGGCGCATGTCCCTGCATTCCACTCCTGCTTGGTTGGGTCTGTGACGGACCGTAGGGACTTTTATTCGCAGGCCCGTGTCTCTGCAGAGCGGGGCCTCAGCAACGCAATCGGCCCTGCTGTTCACCTCAGCGATCTTGCAGGTACCGCAGCTTACGATGCTTTTCTCCTGAAAGAAGCCTCGCAGAAAAGACGCAAACGGAGGCTCAAAGGTGATGGTCTCGAAGGAGACAGTCCAAGGTCCATCCTTGCGGGGCCTCCTTCTTCCGTTCATGGCACCTTCCTTGCTCTCCTTCAAGGTGATACCGGAGGGATCCCTCCTACTTTATTAATGTATTGGAGGGGGGGGGGGTGGTTGGGGGGTCCGATGCATTCCTGCCTGGGTTTCCCAGGAATAGCGAGACAGGAAATGGCTGACCCTCCCCAAAACCTAAACCCGAAACCCGAAACCCTAAACCCTAAACCCGAGACCCGAAACCCCAAACCCTAAACCCTAGACCTTAAACCCTAAGCGCTAAACGCTAAACGCTAACGCCTAAGCCCTAAACGCTACACGCTAAACGCTAAACCCTGAACCCTGAACCCTGAACCCTAAACCCTAAACCCTAAACCCTAACCCTTAACCCTACCAACCAAAGAATGCGTGAGCTGTGCAAGCATAGCAGAAGGATGCCTCATCTGTATGTTTTAGCATGGCTGCCAATCCCTATTGCAGATTTGCCCACCGTCCCAGGGGGGGTTCCAATACATTAAAACCTTGATGTGTTCGATGGGGGCTACACCACTGCTGGGAGGGAACATCCTACTTTATAATGTATTGGAGGGGGGGGGGGGGTTGGGGGTCCGATGCATTACTGCCTGGGTTTCCTAGGAATAGCGAGACAAGAAATGTATTGGCTGACCCTCCCCAAACCCTAAACCCTAGAGCCGAAACCCGAAACTCTAAACCCTAAACGCTAAACGCTAAACGCTAAACGCTGAACGCTAAACGCTAAAGCCTAAACCCTAAACCCTATTTATAAACCTTAAACCCGAAACCCTAAACCCTAAACCCTAAACTCCCCAAACCCTAAACCCTGCCAGCCAAAAAATGCGTGAGCTGTGCAAGCATAGCACAAGGATGCCTCATCTGCATGTTTTAGCATGGCTGCCAGAATCCCTACTGCAGATTGAACCACCCTCCCACCTGGAGAACCAAACGTGCCGAAAAAAAAACAACATTTCACCAAAAACTCAACAACGCTTCTTTTTTTAGGAAAAAAGGAACAACGTCGATTTTCTAATTTCAAAGGTCAGCTAGCTGGAATATGCGAATTTCTGTGTGTTTTCCATGGTTTTCAAGAAATGGTTAAAGCATGTTTAAGATCAAAGCTTGGGTTAACAAAAACCCAAGCTTTGATCTATACATTGTTTACACATGTTCTTTTCAATGCAAAAGAACATGTGTAAATGCCCACACCACATGACATGTGTATAAAACCCTGCATGTTTTAAGGGAGCTCCCGCCGGAATACGCTAGATCAAGCAGATTGGGTCCGCGGCATGCTGCGCTAACCTACACTTCCGGGTTCGGGGATTCAAATTTGTTGCAGAGGGTGACAGTTTTAGAGCCCCTGCTGTACGTTCGTGTAAGGGTCGGGTTAACCTTCAGGTTCTGCCACAGGACCGTCGAGGCGTAGCACTTCCCATTTTTGCAAACTCCTTCCAGCGTCCACAGGCGTATGCCAGGTATCGGCGCATGCAGGTTTTACCTGCCGTTGTCGGCCCACAGCCGCTGGCCTTGGATTGGACTTCAACAATAGGAAATTAATGTGTGTTATACTTTTTTGTAGACAGACACAGAGAGACAAATTTGATATTCACATTTCCATCAAGTGGCTTTGTTACACAGTATTCTGATAGACAGATTTGATATTCATATTTCCGCCAAGTGGCTATATTACACATTATTCTGACGAAATCCTCGTCTGCGTAGCAGGCGTTGAGCTGCGGATTTATTCGGCATTGCTTCAGTTTCTCCCACTGGTGTACCCATGTGTGCAGCCTCGGACAAGAATTTCTTGCAAACACTTGCAATTTCATTGTATATAGATAGAGATATCAAAGGACTATCTATCTGTACATTTCTTTATTTTTACACAAATACATAAATATTTCAAAGCGAAGAATAGTTTGCACAATTTTGATCACAGTGTCTTCGGCCGGAGTTTGTAGAGTCGACGCCCGGCAGCGTAACAGGAGAACGCCAGCCAAAGGTAGCCCACCACGAAACGGTTGCAGGCCGCAACCCCCTTTTCGACATCTGCAGCGGAGACCTCGTAGACACTCTTGTCCAGTATCTCGATGTTCACTGCCAGCGCGCGGGCAGTCCTAGGCTTAATTTGGCGAACTGGCAGGGCATAACTGACATTGGCCTTCCTGCAATGCAGAAAGAATCGTTACACCCAAAGATCAAAATCATGACGATCGATGCTTTCTGTAGCAAGAATTCAAGACAAAGGTACATCGAGAGCACTTCCGCATGCTTCACATCAGAGGCCGCTTTGTTCGAGCGAGCGAAGGCGGGGGCGATCTCAGCCTGTAAGCACGCGTTAAGCCTAACCGAAATCAAAACGCTGAAAAGAAAATCCTAGAGGATGAGGTTTCGAGATGATCCCTACCAACAGGACAAAGCCATGCTGGCCAGGAACAAGCCAAAGACACACCAGTTTGACGTCCCACGCTTTCGCGTTCAGGGACGGGAACTTGTCGTCCGAGAGACTGAACTCGTCCAGCGAAAGCTGGTGGCCCTTCGATGTGGCCCAGTGCCGTGCCATGTCACAAGCTTTTTGCAACGCCAAGCCCTTGCCAAACATATCCACCAGCACGCTCGCCGCAAAGTCTGCTGCGAATCCACGCCATGCCACATGCAAAACATCATCCCAAATGAGGTGGTTGCTGAAACCACTGAGGCGAAGCAGGGGAGGCGGGTGTGCAAGCGATCCCAGGCTGTGATGAAAGTCCTTGGGTCTCAGATCAGATGCGATATTGTGTAATCTGCGCAGCTGCAACTTGAAAAACTGAAACAACGCCTACATTGACATGCGGCATTGGTCCGTACATGACTCATCAGAACCACGCCAGCCAGAATCGCAGAACACATTCAAATAATGCGTGGACCCGAGACCCAGGTACGTGCCCCCATCCTTGGGGTCGTCCGTGCTGGCGAGCCTGCAGCCACGAAAAAACCGCACACTCATGCTTGCTGGCTACTCCAGGAAATTTGGCATTTCACCTTATGTTCAAAAGCAGACCAGTCACTTGCATATGTGGCACATCCTGCACATGCACGTTAACACAGAGGGAATTGCACAAACTCTGTCGTGAGGTTTTGCCAAGCGTAGCAGCAACACCCTCTGCCGGTCCTGTTGCCCCGAGCAGCACCGTTCCCCTTCCAGTGCCGAGGACTGAGCTGTCGAGCTGTCGAGTCTATTGCGAAACTATGACTGAAGATCATCTTCAGTGTCGTACGTATGAAACTCTCAGCGCCTGACAATTTGAAAACTTGGCTCAACCATTTCAAATCTCCCTTCATACCAAAGAAACGCAGAGGGCGCTGAGCACCACCAATCTGAATCGACCTTAACAAATCTATTACTGCCGAGGGAACCATAACAAAACAAACTCAATCTCGCAACATTGCGCATACCACATACATATTGCATCTCCGCTACTGCACAGCATTGAGGTCATCGGTGAGGATATCCATCAAAGCATCAATCGTTGTACGTGCCCTGGGGAATTTCGCCCGCGATACCAAGAGGTGGCCAGGCACAGTGCCTGAGAAAGCTGTTGCTTAAGTATGAAGCCGTGTGATTCACCCCAACTCAAACCCTGAATGCCATCTTGCAATAGCTGAGTTTCACATCGCCAAGCGTGTCATCACGGTGTCCTTATGTGCTCGTTGTTTAAGTTTCTTGTGGAAACGAAGTGAAGCACTCCAGCTCTAGAATATTTGTTAGTGCAAGAGAGGCACACCATGATTGTGGGGGAAGCTCATGGAAAGCACCAGCAGATTTCGTTTCTTGAAGAAAGGGCCTTCGTCCCCGTGGATCCGCATCAATACATCGTCCGGGCCTAAGATAAGGAACGGATATGCTGGTCATAAGATTCACTGACACGAAGTGACCCACATTCACCCCGGAGCCTTCAGGACGCACGACATCACGTAGGGCGTCGCACTCATTGATCAGGTTCACCAGCCTCGCTCCACGAAATCTAAAAATTGACAGGCGTGGCAAACTTCGAAACTCTCAAGATATATGTTCAATCCGAAAACGACTATCCCGAGCCAAGGGGCAACTGGCGTTCCTCCACCGTGCTCTCGCCATACAGCATATGTGCCAAGAGCCGCGGGTCCTTCTCCAGCCATTTGAACCACGAGCTGGGCTTCACAATGCCTGACCACGATCATCAGTTCTAATGTAACATGGACTGGCTGGCACACGTGGCCACTGCGTGCCAGCTTGAGGGTCCGTTTGGGTCACGACAATTCGAAGCCACTTCAAGCAAGGCACTGAATTGTTGTTGTACCAGTTTCTTCCGGACCACTACAGGCAAGTTGACAGTATCGACCCGAGGCAGTTCTTTGCTCAGCTTTGAGTGGAAGGAACATTCCTTCGCAACCGAAGACAAGCGACGAGTCTGATAGTACCGCGAACCTTCTTTCGTAGCAGCCCCGCACACGCTCTGACAAAGCCACTTGATATCAGCACCTTTTCGCGCAAGACCTTGTAGCATGGTTCTAGCCATCGGCGTCTCCACCATGTGCTCTAGATTGGAATATTTCCCGCTCCAATCTCCACGGATGTGCTCAGGGATGCTGTCATCGTCTGGTTTGTCCAAAGTTCTCCGAAGTTTGGACTGTCGGTTGTACATCTCCTTAGCCGCTCTTTTAAGGCGAAGAGGTCGCCTTTCACAGGCATTCCTGAGTACAAGGGTGCATCATGCACAGGCGACCCAACAATTTTGGTGTTAATACTGCATGATCGAGGTATGCGTGCAAGAAACGTAGCGTTCGGGCACTCGGGCTCTGGGATCTGGATGTCGTCATCTGCGCATGCAAACAGCACCACAGCACCAATGCTCAATGCTGAGAAGGCAGGCAAAACCAGCAAATGTAGCACAAACATGGAACACACTTTTGGCATCCCTCCCCAGGATCCCGTGGCGTTTGAGTGCAGGAATGAAAGTGTCGCGTAGACACACATGGAAGAAAAGCGCAAAAGTCCCACGTTCTGGGGATCTCATCAATCTGTCTCCGTCTTCGCCACACTTCTGGCGCAGCCTCTCGCAAAGTCCTCACATGGAATATATATGGATTAAGTGGGGCAAAACAAATCGAAGCACATCGGGCGTACAGCTCCGGTCCTCTTTGATGACGTACAAGAGATACATGTGGGCGCCGGCCTCGTACATATGTCAAAGATATCATGTCTCCGGACTGCAAAATACAGGCGAAAAAAGTGCGAATTAATTCCGAGCCTTCATGGCATCCACCCAAGCCTCCTCCGGAGAATCATCCTTGATGTTCTTGATATCCTGTGACCAGTAATTTTAGTGACAATCACTTCCAAAGGAACCGAGGCTTCACGGGGAATCTGCCTGCCAGGCTAACTCCATGGCATCCTTAGCGCTGGTGAGCTCGTCCATGGCCTTTTTGGACGCCTCGTGGCCCTTCAGCTGCACTTCCAGCTTTGCGTAGGCACCAGCCTCACAAGCAACATATTATTCTAGCAGGCAGGGCACACAATTTCAACAGACTCCCCGCCTTTGCCAAAAGGGCAGTTTCAAACAGTCGCCGTGTCTCGCCCCGGTGCACCACGGGGAAGGGCAACTTCTCGAGGGTCGATAGCTTTGCCTTCCGCACGTCCCAGGTGGCAACTGGGTTGTCGGTGCCACCGGCCCCCTTCTTGTTGCTCTTCGCTTTGCCCTTCGCCTTGGGTTTGGGCTCAGCTGTCCCGGCCGTTGTAGCTGTGGCGGGCACGGAAGGAGGTCTCGATTCCACAGCTCCTGCAACTCGGAAAAAAGCTGACCAGACGGCGTCCATTGGATACGCACACAATTAAGATTGCTATCAGTTCAACCATTTATACTCTGAGCCTGACTCCCTCGAAGCTTTGTGGCCCACACTTGCAACCGCCGGCGCAGCGTTTTCCAGGGAGACGCCTTGCCTTAAATCAAAGCATCAAAGCACACCTATTGCTTCACGACATGAACACCAACGGGTACATGGTCTCGCGCAGAAATGACGTGAGAGCGAGTCAAGCGTCAGGGCTTGTAGAAGCTGGATGGCTTCAGGGCGGGGGTCCACGGCGAGCGGGACCACCTTCGACTTCGTTTCCTCGTAGCGTTTCCACTCGTCTTCGAGGGCATCCCTTGTCACAAGCCGATACACTTTCGCCCCCGACCGTCTCAGGTTGGGGTCCGTCTTCGAACCTCAGCAATATCTTGCTGAACAGAAAATTAAAATGAATGGTGGGACATCATGCAGGCCCACAAGATTGAGGCCCGAACGACCATCCAACTCTGCTTCCACCATTGCTTGCTTGGCCTTCTCTTCGTTCCCGTGATAGTGAGCAAGAACTTGCTCTGGCGTCATGAACTCATTGGTCGCCAATGCCGTCCTCAGCATCGCGAGCAGCAACGGGCCCCAAGGAAACAGCCAAGCGCCACAGCCAAAAGATGCATGTCAAACATTTGCAAAGTGAAGAAACACCATATATGTTCCAAGGGCAGGACTCTGTGAACTTCTCTCCGTGGATGATTTCCACGGTCACGGCCGCCACGTTCGGGTTGGCGAGCCACTTTTGCAACAGCTGCTCACGTGGGATGCCCTTCTTGATGTACTGGGACACCATCTCAAAACTTGCACGGTTGTAGTTTTGGCAGCAGCGCCGTAGGGACTGTCGAGCATTGGCAATGACCTGAGATACATATTCAACACAGGAATTCCGAAAAGTCACTTGAAGGAAAGTACTGCCTCCTGACATTGCATGGTGCTCCAAATATAATTGCTCACAGTACGTTCTTGGATTCTTCGTCGTCTTCTCCAGCTGGCGTCCCAGCTGGTGTCGGTGTCGAAGGCGGCGTTGGCGTCCCCGCAGCTGCAGGCTGCGGGGTTGGAGGAGCTTTCGGGTCAGGCTTGGGTGTACTCATAGCAGCCCCGCTTGCAAAGGTCACCTTTGGCATAGTACTCGGTGAGGAAGTCGTGCCCTGGCTGGTCTCGGACTTCGCTTCCTTCTCGTCCAGAACCTTCGCCCGTTTCAGCACGGGCGGAGCGGGGGCCGATGACTTGGCCGCACTCATGCGATCATCGGGCGTCCAAGACTCAAGCTCCCGCCTGAGTGACGCATTGCGGCTGCGAGCTTCCTCCAGCCGCCGCTGGAGCTCCTCACGCTTCTTCAGCTTCTCCTCTCGTTTTCTCTCCCTTTCCTGCTCCTCTGCAAGCCGTTTGGCGTCACGAAGCCGGTCCTCTTCTTCCTTGCGCTTGCGCTCCTCCTCCTCCTGACGCCTGCGTTCCTCCTGTTGGCGCTTGCGTTCCGCCTCTTGTCGCTTCCTCTCCTCCACCTGCTCGTTCAGCTGTCGCTCTTCTGCTTCCAAGCGCCTCAACTCCTCCATGTCGGGGTCCTCTTGGCTCTCTCCCAATTGGGTGCTCTGCTCATCTGGCGACAATCCCCCTTTGAGCCGCTTCTCCTCGGCCTCTCGGACCGCTGCAGCCGCAGCAGCCTCTGCATCTGCCGCCTCTTTGGCTGCTCTGGCCATCTTGGCAGCCTGCAAAGACTGCTCCGCCAAAGCAGCAGCCTCGTCGCGCTTTCTCTGGGCTTTGGCCTCAGCCTCTATCTCGAGCCTTCGCATTGCCTCCTCATTCCGGCCCAGCTTCTCCATTTCTTGCTCCAGCAGAGAGTTCAAGTTCACATCTTCATCACTCATATCCACAGCCTGCAATGCATGCACAGCAGTCGGACCAGCAGAACCACACTAGTGCATGGGTGGGTGGCACACGTACTGTCTCTTACTGGAACAGTAGACACGTGTTGCATGCTCAGAACCCACTGCGCCTCTGTCTGGCCGTCTTGCGGCGGATGTACCGTCTCTGCACGCAGCGTTCCTAGCAAGAGATGGAGTCAACTCAAAAACCCCACTGTGATTGACTGCACTGTACGTGTACGTAAAAGGGCCTGCGTCAGTAGCATCGTCTGGGCATCCCTCGTTCAAACTCGCGATCGAGGATGCATCAGTAGCCTTATGTGCAGCCCACGCATTGGAACGTTGTGTCACTCTCTCCTCTACCAGAAACGTTCACCAGCAGCTGAGCATGACATAATGTCGCCCACGCAGCAGCCTCATGTAGTTCCCGCTTGACATCAAAGAAGCGGGCCTTCGCAATGTGTGCACATTTTTATGTCTTAGGCCTCGTACCAGAGCATTTGTTTCACCCCGCGCACCATCCCACCAGAATCTGTCTGACCCCTGACACCTGTCTCACCATGCGCACCAGCCCAGCAAAATGCCCCCCCACACCAGCCCAGCAAGGTAGTGTCTGACCCTGCGCACCAGCCCACGATAATCTGTCTCTGCCCCCATACCAGCCCATGAAAATCTGTCTCACCTGCATTCCAGCATAAATATCTGTCTGACCCCGCACACCAACCATGCCTGCTTCTCGTAGTCCTTGTCGAGGTGCGAAACGCCCTCCATCAATGTGGTCGAAGACCTGAGAAGCACGTGAGTAGGTTTCACTGTACGTGTTGCACAGCGTGCAAGGACCTGATCTGGTGAGGCTCAGGCATCTGAGAATCGTAGCCAGGCATGGACGCTGGTGTCGCTGTCACGATCAGAGCACGTGTCTATATGTGTATGTATGTAAACGATCTCTTCAGACATGTAACAATGTGTATACATGTATGAAAAAATTGCGCAACTCCTACGTTCAATTTCAAGTGTAATTTCACGGGGCATGCCGCGTACGGCTTGTGTACGGGGGCTCCTGTCTGGCCACATGCACGGCGTACGGTTGCGTACGGCTTGCGTACGGGTTGTGTACGGGTGCATGTTCTCGAAGTTTCGATGTTGTTCTTGTTGAAGTGATATTGATTCTTTTTATGAATGCTGAGAGTCACGTCCTGATCTGTGTCAACATCCCTAAAGCTACAGCACCACTGTCTAGAATTAATTGTCGACAGAAGCCAACAGCCTGGAGATAGTTGAATTTACTTGTAGCATGTGACGCAGGAATGCCAGCGTGGCATTCTGCCTGAGCCGCTGTGTTTCATGTGACATCAACGTTCATTGTAATATCAAGCACAAGACACCCGCAAATCACTTGCATGCATCCACGCAACACATACGGCATCAATCTGCAGCCCAAATTTTCTTGCAGCTTTTAATGGAGCACCCAAGAGGCACGTCATTCATGGATCTCCATTCGTTGTTAGCTGCAGGACCTACGGAACGTAGCACAGAATTAACATATTAGAACTTGTTCCCGCACACAACCCTTACCCGTACACAACCCTTACCCGTACACAACCCGTACCCGTACACAACCCGTACCCGTACACAACCCGTACCCGTACACAACCCGTACCCGTACACAACCCGTACACAACCCGTACCCGTACACAACCCGTACCCGTACACAACCCGTACCCGTACACAACCCGTACCCGTGCACAACCCGTACCCGTACACAAACCGTACCCGTACACGACCGGAACCTGTAGCTTGTGTACACCACCCAATACGCTACAGAGGCCCTGACATATGGCAGAACCATGTCATAACGCAGGGTCCTGCTCTGCAAGTGGTAGGCAGCACTCAGCAGCGCACCCGTGCGAGCCTATATATGGTTGTTATGGATCTATTTATATGTATATGTTGCGCGGCGCGCCTGCACAGGGCACCATATATGTACGCACAGATCGAATCCCCAGGTGCACATGTCCCCCACTGGATGAATTTGAAACTGCCCAGCGGGTATATATATATATACATACATATATATGTTTGGGCATATATATCTTTGGTGGGACACGTGCTCGCCCCCATCACTGCCACCCCTGCAGCGATCACGAGCTTGCTTCAGCTCATGCCCCTTGGTGACCAAAGGTGCGCAGGCCAGCGTCAACGAGGAGTTTCCTGACGCACGTGGACTTGGGTGTTTTTGGACTGACTCATAAAGCAGCGTGCGCTTACACGAGGGACCCGCCTGTAGCCATAACTGGGAATCCTCACCCACCGGCTTCTGGCGAGATAGACAGCCAAGTGAAACAAGTTGGCCTCAATCAAGAGATGGAGCACACATTAGACGGTGCAAGCTTAAGCTGCAAGCCAATACAGCGAGCAAGTTCGAACACAGCAAGCCGGGGCGCATCCTCATACTCTGGCTCCACGCACAAATCAGGGCGGCCATCCGCAGTGTAGAAAAGCTGAAACCTTCGGGCGATGTGTCGCGCTCATTCCCCTAGCATGCATTAAGCTGCAATGTAATTCAAAAAAAACAAAAAGCCAAGCCACCCCTTTCCATCGTCTTGCATCATCTCAGCACATAGGGGCCCTGGTGGGTCAGATGCCATGATCTTCGCTTGCCCATGCACCAGTCGAGCAATGCGCTGCGCAAGACGTTTTGGATACTCCCTTGGCTGCACATTGCACAAATGCAAACTTTGAAAAGGAACATGCGTGCTAGAAACGGAAGTACATGTCTGGCATGTTGCTGGCAAAGGTGCTGCGAAGCCCGCAGAGATTTGCTACCGTACACCTTCCCTCCTTTTCTCGTGTGGGTTTTCGGGAGGCCCAGAGCGATGCGCCTTTGCTCAACCTTGCGTCGGCGGTTTTTTGTGAAGGTCTTGTAGAGGCCGGAGACCCACAGCCTGAGGCAGATTAAAGTACGTCTTTGCATCACAAAGGAACCGTCCAGGAAAGAAACCAATGCGC